TGGGATAACATCTGCCCTCCTCCAGTCCTGTGGCACATCTCCCATCCTTCAAGAGGTCTGGAAGATGATAGACAAAGGCCGAGTTCAGACTGGCAATTTGAAGCGCTAGGGAGTCGTGGCAAAGAAAACCCGGAACATACCTGGAACGGCTTGTTTGCAGTATTCCCGTTCACACTGCAGCGAATGAAGCGGGAGGATACCGTGGAGGAAGCGCAAGGGAGAGTTCACACTGTTGGGCTGCCCTGGCGGCCTGTTAGCGGCTGTTTCCGTGCTGGGTTGCATGCGCCCATGCGCATGGGTGCAGCAGCAAATAGGGCAGTATTGCGCAGGCACCAACGGCGCCTGCCCACGGACACAGCCGGTGCCTATCATCAATGACTGCGGGTTGTTCCCGCCTTAGCAGCGCTTGCGTTCACACTCAGGGAACCGGAATCAACGCGCTGTATACACGGTTTGCTACCACTTTAACATGTATCTTTTAAACTCGGGAGGGAAGAGGCACAAGATGGCTTGAGAACTGCTGGGGGACGCCTGAAACATGTGGCTGTGTGAACCCGCCCCTTTAATCCGTTACTGAAACGCTCCTCAAACGTTTGCCTGCCGGGCCAAACTGCCAGTCTGAACTCGGCCAAAGGCTCTGCAAGCTCTCTAGAAAGTTCTTTGAGCACTTTTGGGTGCATACAATCTGGCCCGGGGGAGCCAGATGCTTCTCAACTACCTCTGTCCATGTCAACCAGCAGTCTGGACACGGTGCCTTGCCTACCACCATCTCTAGATGAGCCTGTTCTCTTCTACAGGGAAAAAACTGAGGCAAAATAGACATTGAGCCTTTCTGCCTTCTCTCTGTCAGAGTTTCTCCATTTTCACCTAACAGTGGGCCTATCACCTCTTTTATCTTGCGTTTGCTCCTCACATATCTGAATATGATCTTCCTGTTGTAATGAGCCTCCCTGGCCAGCTTTAGCTCACTGTGAACTTGGGCCTCTCTGATGGCTGACCTACAATGCCTAGCAACCAGCAGATACTCTTCTTTAGAGGTATGTCCTTGTCTCCATTTCTTGAACATTTCCTTTTTCTCCCTCAGCACATCACGCAGTTCTCTGTTCATCCACATTGGCTTCTTGGATCCCCTACCATGTTTCCTTCTTGTTGGAACAGCGATGGCTTGAGCTTGCAAGAGCTCTTGTTTTAGGAGAGCCCACCCTTCACTTGCTCCTTTCCCTTCCAGCAGTCTTGCCCATGGAATGATTCTCATCATGCTTCTGAGTTTATTTAAGTCTGCTCTACTGAAATCTAACATACACTTCCTTGGTCCCCCACAGCAAAAGGAATTCTGGCTGGACATGGTCACTTCCCCCTAAAATCCCCACCACCTTCACCCCATCTACCATCTCTTGCCTGTTGGTCAATATTAAGTTGAGTATGGCCAAGCCCCTCATAGCTTCCTCCACCATTTAATGAAGGAAGTTGTTGGCCAGACATGACAGGAACGTGTGTGACTGTGGATGCTTTGCAGAGTTTGTCTCTCAGCAGACATCAGGGACATTGAAGTCACCTGTAACTACCAGGTCATGTTGTTTGGATACCCTGTCAAGCTCTTCAAGGAGGGTAGCAGCATCATTTCAGAAGTTGGTTGCTGAGTCATTAATCACTGGGGTTATTAACAAGCAAGCCATGTTTTTCATTGCAGTGAGGAGGTCATCAGTTTAGTTAGCCAAGGAAGGCATCCTGAAATACAACAATCTGAATACAGGCATTCTGAGGTAAATGGCATTTTGAGATAAAACTGCTCTGCAAAAAATCAATGGAGATTAAAGATACAAAGGGTTGATACTGGTTTATTCTAACAGTGCTGCCATTTCTGCAGACTTCAGCAAGTCTATCCAGTATGTACTTCCACAGGGATTATCTATGTTAGTCTGTTGCAGCAAAATAAAACAGGAGTCCACCAGTACCTTAAAGACTAACAAAATTTGTTCCAGACTCACTTTTGTTTGAACTCACTTCATGGATTTTGCAGCTCTGACTGAAGAAAACGTATGCTGGAATAATTTTTTTTAGTCTTTAAGGTTCCACTGGACTTCCCTTTTATTATCTCATAGATAATTTCTACTTCCATCTCTCATTCTTGTATTGTTAATCAAACTTTTTGGGAAACTCCCTAAGAAGCAGAGTGCTCCAGTATTCACCATCTGGCAAGGCAACTGTGTGTGGAGTTCCCTATTGCCCTGTCTAGCTTTTGCAGCTCCCAGGAGAAAGGGTTTCCCTCTCCCTTCTACTGGAGACAGTTGCTAAAGGCTTAAGCACAACCATCATCCATCAGTAGCTTTGCGAGCACAGATACGCTGCATGAGTGTAAGAATCCAGGACTAGCTGCCTTCTCTGTCAGCAGTTTTCCCTAAAAATGTGTTTGAAATATGTAACTTGGAGATCACAGTCTTTCAGCAGTGAGACCCTGGGGCCATGAGGGTGGGAGAGGCAGCATTTCACTGACGAAATGTCAGTGTTTAAATAACTCTGAAGAATCCCAGCTGTTGCTGCAGTTTTTACTTAATTTGTATGTACACACACACACAAAGTTAAATCACAGTCTTTTCCCAATATGCAGTTTGATATATGACTGCAAACAGCAAGATTTTACAAAACTGTTCTGAATGGAGCAGCAGAAAACAGAAGAAAGGAGTGCTCCAATACACCTGCACAATGTGGACAGCTAGGGAAGACAGACACTGCTGCAGGATGTACCCATCCCAAGAGTAAACACAACCGCATGTATCCACACTGGATTTTGGACCTATTCCCAGCACAGGTCGGGTGTGAAGGCTGTTGACTGGCTGGCATTTGGGGCAGTCACAAAGCCACATCATTCCATCCTTCCCTAGCCTTTGCATTCTGCTCATGCAGAGTTCCAGGGACTGGAACTTCTGAATACCAGGTAGATACCATACTACAGAGTCAGAAGAAGAAGGAGTTAGTTTTTATACCACGCTTTTCTCTGCCCTAAGCAGTCTCAAAGCAGCTTACAATCACCTTCACTTCCTCTCCCTACAACACTCACTTTGCGAGGTAGGTGGAATTGAGAGAGTTCTGAAAGAACTGTGACTGGCCCAAGGCCACCCAGCAGGCTTCATTTGGAGGAGTGGGGAATCAAACCTGGTTCTCCAGACTAGAGTCCATCCCTCTTTACCACTACATCATGCTGGCTCTCCATTTAATTGGATAAACATGCCAAGCACCTGAACCAAAAAATGTTAAAAGCAGAAAGCCTGTCCAAAGCACAGCGGGAGCATCTCTGTGCTAGAGTCAGAGCCAGATAAGTGAATCAGTAGAGGAACAAGCAGGCTGGAAAAAGTAGTTTGCCTTCCAGCAGAAAAACCTGCACCCAGTTCTATACAGAGGTAGTCCTCCAAGTTAAGGGTTACTGAATAATTAGCATTTACTGGAGGTACAGAAAACTTTTTTTGTTCTATTTACCAGCCTATCACATTTGGATCCCACTTTTTTCCTATGTAACTTAGAAAAGCATTTGCAGACTTCTTGTTTTCCTTTCAAATTCATATGAATACTAATCTTCCTATAGTTTTTAAGTCCTGGTGATTTTGTTGTAAGGCTTGTGGTTTTTTCGATTTCATGTCATCAATGAAGAGATATTTGACAAAAATTAGGAAAATGTAAACTCCTTCTGCATCCCACTCTCCACCACTTTATGGTATATTTCAGCTTTTAGTCACTTGAAGCCTTAAATGGTGCATAACCCCTAGAAGTACAGAAACCAAAAAAAGGAAAAATAAATCACCTCCTTTAAATCCCCATAATCACAGCCTTTCTCATCATTTGTGGCTTCAAGTCTAATGGTTTTGTTCATCCCTGTGCAAGCGATTCAGTGAACTGTCCTGGCAGGCAGGCATGCAATCCATTTGCCAGCTGGCAGAATACAGGAACTTGCAAGGACTTGTTGCTGACAGGCAAAGTTTCTAGGAACATTGCTTGTAAACGTCCTCAGGAATATGTTGAGCACTGCTCACCTGCTTAGGAAAAGGAGCATCTCAACGGAAGCCTTCAGATGGCAATGAGGTAGTTTCCCTGGTGGCAGTGCACTGTATCCAGCAGCCATGCCAGCGGTTTCTTTTTCTTTAAAAGAAGATCTTTAGCTGTGATTTAAATAGGACTATGCTTAATCTGACTATTTCACAGCAAAAGCAATGCTTATGGGACTCACAAACTATTTCTTAACACCTTTTTATACCTGTTTGTTGCCACTGTTCTTGCAATCTGCTGTTTGCAAAATGAGACACCAATATTTACCATCTGTTTTCCCGCCACCTATCATTTTTCTACCAGAATGAAAGGATGGAGTAATGAGAGTCTATTTACCAACAATACATTTCCTGATCCATATGTTATTTGGCAAATGAATCCAACAGCACCACTTCTGTCTACTGAGAAAGGGTGGAGATCGCATTTGTCCATGGGGCAAAGATTCAATAAACACTCCGGCAAAACTTTGCAGCTGGGGTCTTTATGCAACATCATACCAAGTGACAGAGTTAGCAGAAATAGAAGACTACTCAAACTGTACTGCTGGCCCAAAGTGCTTTTCATTTCTTCTCTGAACAAGAACAAGACAAAGCATAAGGACAAGGAGGAAAAACAATGGATGCATGGTTCTAAGAACAGACGCCTGAGCAGACATTTTGCATTGATACAAGCCCATTGTCTGCTATCTGACCTTATTAATGCAGTACTCTTATGTTCATACATTTGATAGTGAAGGGACTGACAAGATGATGAGCTACTCGTCTTTCTTCGGTTTACTGGTGTCACTGAATTTGTAGGAAGAATTCACTTTCAAGATCTAGACTACAAATAGTCACAACTCTCAGAGTTACTGTTCAGGCCGTTTCAGAATTAGGAATAAGGCATTATTCATAACAAAATTTATTATTTTTTTCAAACCTAGAGCAATACTTTTTCATGTAAATGGCTAAACTATAACTTACCAAGGCAATTATGCCCATCATGTGCCAGGCGGAAGCCATCATAGCAGGTACATCGGTAATTCCCTGGGATATTGACACATTCATGGACACAGCCAGCATTGTCATCTCGCTCACATTCATCAACATCTGCACAAAGAATAGAGAAGACCAATGACCCAAGAGAACTCCAGAATCAAAAATTACCAACATAGTTCATCAAAGGGATCTAGTTAGACTTTGCAAATGTATTACACCAGTGATGGTCTCAACAGCCACATCTCATATAAACCAATATGATACATTCATTTCCCGTCCCCCACTCCAGTCTCCTGTCAAAAACTGCCATTCATGTTCATATACTATACCAGTTACTTTTAACAAAATCATTACAATTTTGTTAGTGGTTTTTGCACCAAATGGAGGATAGATGCATCTCTGCTATTACCCAACATAGTACCAGAAACACAGCCTAGAGTTTAATACCGAGGCAGCAAAGCAGCTTAATGAACACTAGTTGGGGGGGGGGGGGGGGGGGGGGGGTGACATTAGAAAAACCCATCCATGGTGGCTCAAGGAGGATGTCTGGCCAGACAAACAGCTTTATTATTGGTCTTACAGATACAAATGGCCCACAGTTCATACCACCTGGATAGAAATGTGAAAGCCTGGAATACCCTGGAAAATTCAGGAAGAACCCCTCCCCATAGGTTTTTTCTAGGGACATTTGCAGTTTTTCCCAATAAGAAAACTAGAAATGGGAGGGCCTTTTTAAAAAGTCCTATGAAATTTCTCTTTAGGAATGACTGGAATGCTTTGTAAGACAAGGTATTACTTGCTCAAACTACACAGTATGAAGATTTCTAAGTAAGACAATCTACAGCATTAGATAATGATAGTTGCTGTGTTAGTCCTACTGTGACTGTATGAAATTATTTCTATCCAAATACACACTCTATTGTTCACTACAAAAGTTGCTTTGTATTTTCAACTTTTATTTTTTCTGATACCTATAAGATGGCATGTGCTAAGACTTCATCAGATGCAGAAGCCTGGAGCTCTCTCTCTCTTTCTCAAATGCTGAGTATATTCACAATTTGGTCTGTAGAAAATTAAGGCATTTATCCTTCTAAATTCCATAAGATATTATATCAAATTGTGCTATATGGTAATTAAATTATAAATTATGCACTTGAAAAAGTAAAATAAATTTAGGTTTGATTAGAAAATATTGCATAAATTTCAATTTTCCCAAACATTTCTGTTAAAAACATGAGGAAACAATTTTTTTACATGACTTCAAAATTTTAATTCTCTACACCAGGGTCCACTGTGGCAAGGATGGCCTCTGCCCCAACCACATTAAGGTAGAGTTCTGCTGAGGTGGCTTTCCCTCATCTCTCTGTCTTACCTCATCTTCTCATTCTTTCTCTCCTCCCTCAGCACTGCCTCACTCTCCTCCCTTGCCTTCTCCATGCTATCTTCAACCACCATCTTCTACTATCCTTCTTATAGCTCTTCCCCTTCCATTCTCTTTGCCCTTCTTCCCTATCTATCTTCCTTCTCACCTCCTGCATTGCCTCACCCTTTCTGAGGCTGCCAGGGCCTGGCAGTCAAAAATCACTTCACTGGGTCCCACACCCAGCTGGGGTAGTCATGCAGCATCAGCAGCCAAATGCCTGCCTCTGCCAGCCCGCTGATCCCGGCTGCCACTAGGCCAGGGGGCTACCAGCTGTTCTCTCCATGAGGCTCTTCCACAGCAGCCACCTTCTCTTGCCTCCTAAAGTTCCCAGCAAGCCAGGTGAATAACCTCCACCCCCTGCCCCTTTACTGGAACCACATGCAGGTAATTATAGCAGCCCATCCTACCTGCCCCAACCAAACCCATCTGCACACTATAATTCAGAGCCAAACTACACTTGACCCCAGAGGGTCCATGACCTGATGCTTTCATTTTTACTAAATGTAGAAGGGATATAGGTGGCTTCTAATTTGATTTGGAAAACAGTACAGGGATGATAGGAGCTGAACTTTTTGCCCTGTGCCATTTCCCTATTTTAAATTTTCCACATAAACTGTTTTATGTGTGTGTGGGGGGGGGGGTGTTGAAGCCAGAACACCACACAGTCCTTCTCTGCATTTGACAACATAAATGCATATACGGAGACATGGCTAGATTTCCACCTATATTTATTTCTGTGGATTAACCTATTCTCCCTACCTTTGCAGTGTTTCCCATCCCCGGTATAGCCAGATTTGCAGATGCACTTGTATGATTTGGGAGTGTTCTGGCAGATGGCATCAATGTGGCAGTTGTCAGTCCCATCAACACATTCGTCAACATCTGCAATGGAAGGGGGGAAGCAACATCATAAAACTGCACTCTTGATGTTTGTTTAATACACCACCCAATGTTTACTCTGGTGAGCCTGGAAACTGAATTCCTCACAGCAGGCACCGCTAACACATCATCAAAGGACTCACCCTCAAAGGGTCACATCTAGGAACAATGGGTCAGTTTCTAAGACAAAAGTAGGTTGGGTTAAGGTGCTGAAAAAAATGCAAAGTCTACTTGTGATGACTTTGGTGTACAGCCAAACAAAACAGGGTGGAGAAACAGACAGAGTTTGTACTTGGCAGGACATAATGGGAGCAAGCTGAGCCCCAGTGGTGTTGCCGGTATGTCAGGGGATCACCTCAAACCCAGCTAGCAAGCTGTGTGGGATCAGAAGGTGATATTGGCGGAAGGCCTACCTATCACTTTCTCCCATGCTACTGGATCCACTATCAGACTGACAGTGTCTGAAAAGTCCATCTTGACTGCCTGGGCAGCCCTGCCCTGGATGCCAAGCAAAATGGTCTAACGTACTGCTGTTCGGTACCCATGTTCCAGGGCTTTATCAGACCTTTCCTCAATTGTGGAGACAGCTCTCTGAAGACCTCTTCATACTGTCATTTGGGCATATGGCAACATTAAAAGAAAGCAGTACTTCCCATCATTTCAACTATCCTCAGTGCCATGTGCAGGATTTGACTTTCAGCAGATGCTGGTGGGTATTTTTTTCAGTGCTTGCTAACATGCGCTGAAAGCCAATTTCTGCATCTGATCGGCCAAGTCTTTATGAGCTGGGAGCCACTGTCTGCATACCCAAGCAGCCACCCCATACACAAATGGTTGTGTGAAAACCAGGGGCAGCATCCCATTTGTATCACAAGGGTTCAGTCAGTATTTATGTAAGGACAAACAGTTCTAAATCGGTCTCCAGGCTGGTAAGTACAATGCAAAAATAACAAAGGCCCCTGCCACACGGCAGGGAAAACACCTGGCAAAGCGCGGCTAAATAGAGCCGCACCAAAAAAGAGACGCGCGGGCGGGATCCCACGGATCCCGTGCACCGCGCGCCGTTGCTCCCCGGCCCGATCAGATGCCGGGGAGGTAGGGACGCTCGGGAGGGGGAGGCTGCCGAACTGCGCATGCTCACGCATGCGCAGTTCGGCTGGGGGCCGGGGATGCGCCGGCGGCAAGACGTGCCGCCAATCCCACGGCCAGCGATGATACGGACCAAACGGATGAACCACCTAGGTAGGTGGTTCAGTTTTGAAGCGATTCATCGGGGGAAGGGCCGGACCGGAGATGGGAGCGCAACGCCAGCCAGATGTTGACGTGGGATCGCGCCCATTTGCTGCGCTTCCAATCCGGCCCACTCCCGGCCCAAAAAGCCTCTATGAACAGGGCCTAAGTGATTTTTCTGTGGCCTTCATTAACGTCAGACTGAGCACTTTTTGCCATACATCTCTTAAAGGGGAAGGGAGGTGATTAGTTTTTCTTCCTACGACTATTACACTGTCATGCATCAGGAAAAAACTGAATACCAAGACTTGTGAATCTAAACTAACCAATGCCAATGACACATAAACACAGAAATGAGGTGCCAGAAATGAAGCAACTAAATGAGAAAAACACAACAGGTCTCTCATACTCAGGAACACCACACATTCTTCCAAACACCCTACTCACAGCAATCAATGGTACAACTCACAGAGTGTCTGACCATATATATTTTGTCCAGTGTTCCCTCTAAGCTAAGTTAGTGTGAGCTAGCTCAGTTTTTTAGCCTCTGGCTCACACATTTTTGTCTTAGCTTAGGAAGGACAGCTACAGAGCAAACTAATTTATGCAGTAGCCAAACTGCTCGCTCACAACTTTAATGCCAGTAGCTCACAAAGTAGAATTTTTGCTCATAAGATTCCACAGCTTAGCAGGAGCATTGATTTTGTCCTTTTCCGTTGAGACATAATAGAGTTTTTGTTGCCACAGTTCTATAGAGGAATGGGAGAAGAGGCAGCCACCAGAAGAGCCACATTTATGTGTTGTACAAGCAGCCCAAACCAATGCAGACACAACTCCTTGGCCTGGTTATGCATTATATTGCTGCCCTTAAGGTCGGGGTGTGTGTGTTTGCGACAAGGTAACTCTGGAGTTAGAATAAATGCATAGTGAGTATAGAGCACCTCAGTTATGAGCAATTCACTGTTTGATGATGGAGGGAAACATATAAAGCAGGAAATGACATATTTTAATTGGTATTTATGAGGTTTCTCTCCTGAAGTTACAATTTCAGTGGTATCAAGGACAAAAGCCAAACTAGTACAGAAGAAAGGAACAACTGAGTCTGGCATATTTGTCTCAGGTTCCGTTCAGCCATGTGTGCAAGCTATATTTTGAGAGACAGTTGCAGAGAGGCTCTTTCACTAATGTTCTACCTGAACCTGACAGGACATCTGCTCTTTGCTTGACAATGTAGCCTGATGTAACCCAGTTTATCACTCTTTTCTTCATCTCCCCATTTGGGTTTTTCAAAACAAGAGAAAGGTGGTATCAGAAAGGTGTATCAGCATTGCCTGCTATATTTTCTCTGAGTCACAATTATCTACTTGCTGTCATGGGGGAATCAGGAATGCCACTGCTCTCATTCGACAATGCTCAGAGTACTATAAGAGCACTAGCAAACTGACCTTCATAGAATACTGTCAGCATGACACCAAACCTCCAACAAGATGCCTATAATCTAGCCTTTCTATTCAATATGGATTTATCTCCATCTTACTGTGTGATGTTACCCCTGATGGAAAGCATGTTTTTCATGAAGACATGTAGACCATATTGTTGTTTTATCTATTGTTTTCTTATGTTAGCTGCCCTGAGCCTGCCTCGGCGGGGAGAGCAGGGTAAAAATCAAATAAATAAATAAATAAATAAATATTACTTCAGGTAAAATTATACTTCTGCCTCTCCTGAATCTACTGCCAATTTTTATTGTGTGACTCCAGGCAGAGGTAGAAAAATATACAGCTATGACCAAATTTACTACTAAATCAGAAGATCTCCTTAAGGATATCAGAAAGTAACCTATAAGGACTGGGAAATTATTTGGAATACAATGGAAAACCACTTCAGAGAGGAGTAACAGAAATGGTATGAAAAGTAACAGGAGAAAGCAATCTCACAATTTAGGGACTAATAACCACTTTCACAACGTAATAGACAATAGTCAACTGAAAACAAAATGGACCATGAACACCAAAATTAATTGCAAAATGTATACAACATGCCAATATAATATGGATCCAAGGAAGACATACAGGATTTGGGATTATACTCAAGCATTTCTGCAATCTGAAGACAATAATACCAAGACCCCAATAATTACATCAGCAAAGCTTCTCATGGAATAATATGTCTTTGTTAATATGAAATCAACAAATACTGCAAAAAAGTCACAACACTGTTCTGCAAGAACAAAATAGTCTGCACTACAAGATGGAAGAACATTTGAAGGAAAGTATTTAGGGTAAATTCTACTTAAGACCAAATGGCTATTTAAAATTTAGATGGGAGCAGCAGTATAATATACAGCCTTTAATTACTTACAAAATGTTGAGATCTTCTATTTTCATTTTGCTAAAGAAATACAAAGGCATCCTTAAGATTTTCCACTGAGTTCATATTAAGGTGTGGAGAGCATAACATAATTGCACCATAGCAACCCCTTCCAATCATGGTGCAGCATGCTGATGATGCATATATCAGGTGGAAGCAACCACCTGTTGCATATTGACACAGTCACACACCCCAATGTCAGGTCACCTGTGCCCATGCACAGAACATCACAGGGGAAGTAACACAGCATCCTTCAATGTAAGCAGGAGGCGTTTGTCTCCTCAGCATTTGCACAAATGAAGCTTCAGAAATAAGTTTCAAGACAGAGTTTAATTTAATTGATTCTAAAACTGATAAAATGGCAGATATAGGGGCCAAACCAATAAGCTACTTGTTGAAAACTGTTGAAAACACATATGCGCCTAGCATATCACCAAATTCATTTTTCTGAAGCCTTCTTTGAGATTTTGGGGGACGGGGCTTGATTACTGAACTCCTGTTTGGTTCTGCTGCTAAAGTCTAAGATTTAGACAGGGGTGTCAAACATGTGGCCCGTGGGCTGGATCAGGCCCAATCAGGCTCACAAGGCCTTGACTGTTTCCTACTTCCATTTGCAGGTCTGCTGCTGCTTCCATGTTACAGCTTGCTTTACCAGTCTCTCTCAATCACACAGGAGAGATCGATAGGCAAGGCTCTCCTGTGCAATTGGGAGTCTGATAAACAACTGGCTGAGGCTCCTCCCCCTCCTCCTCCCAGAGGGAGGGAGGGAACAGCCAGAGCTCACTTCCTGGCCAGGCTGCAGGAAACAAAGGGCAGCCTTCCTTTTCTTCCACTGGCTGAGGCTCCTCCGTGAAGGGAGGGAGGGATTGAGGGAGAGTTTGCTTTGCTGGGCTGCCTCAATCGCACGGGAGAAATACCAAGCACCTTTAAGACCAACAAAGTTGTGTTCAACATATGAGCTTTTGTGTGCCTTGCTACAGTGTGTGTGTGTGTGTTTTGTTAGGCTCTTTATACGAGGGCTCTCCTGGGTGAAACTGGGTTCCCTTCCCCTTTTTACTGTATTCATGCCCTCATGATCCAGTCTTTCTCAGTAAGAAAGCAATGTGAGCTATTTTAGAGGAGGAATAACAACAAGCCAGTGAGGTGGAATAGACTGAAAATATGTGTCCAGACGAAGTCCAGACCCTTTGTAGGAAGTTGTAGTTATTTCTCTGGGGAAGAGTATAGTTTTGTAGATAAGCACATGACCCTCAGTCTGTGTTAGGATGCCTTTTCATGTTCTTGACCAGCACATAAAACAACTTGAAGAATTTCACATTACCCTTTTTAACCCGTTTTGAAGCCGTTTTTGATCCGTCTTGGAGTAAACCGGTATAGGGCTGCCATTTCACACATGGCTTACT